GGGGGGGGGGGGGGAGGGGGGAGAGACCGTAAGAGAAATGACATTTGCTCCCTCCCATTGGGGCTAGACATGACAGACGTCCATAAAGTGTTGGTCCTCGGCAAAGATCACATATGGTAGACTTGTTTCTTATACCATATAGGAATATGTTGAATCTATCAAATGACTTTAAAAGAAGCCCTTAAAATACAAAAAATTTCAATATATATCAAGAAAAAAGGAATGCAAGTCTAGTTGATGTAGGAAAAAAAATGAAAAAGGAGCTTAAGGCGATGTCATCCACATCCTTAAAGGTCGATCTTCACAAAGTTCCTTAAGTTCCAAAGGTTATAATTACTATCAATTTGCCAAGTTTTTTAGGCCTAATTAATGGCTTCTACATTACATGTATAAGTGGCATCATTTAATTAATTGATAACAAATAAAGTAATTGTGAGTAAAGAAAACAAGATGGTTTTTCACTTGTATCGAGTTTGCTTGTTATTATATCTTTATGTTGTGTATATATGAAGTCTGTTCTAATTTCAAATGATGTCTTTCATGATGGAGAAATTTCTTAATCTTCTAAGTGTTTGATTTAGCAATTAATCATAGGAGACAATAATATCATGATTAAAATTGATCAAGTGTATAATAATAGTCAATTAGTTCCGAAAGTGAGAGCGAATGCCGATGGAATCCCCCCTATCCTGTATATATTTTAAGTTTATAAGAAACATATATAGTTGTTTAACTAATAATTAATCTACAATTAAGGGACCGTTTACCAAACACTTACCCGGTAAGTGCTTTCGGTAAAATTTAACACTATTATTTACTTATCCGGTAAGATTTTAGTCCACCAAAACGACATCGTATACAACAATTTATCCGGTAAACGCTTACCGTGGTAAGAGTTGCCGTCCTCACTTACCGGGTAAAACTCATGGTCCATGTCTCGCTCTTACCGAGTAAGATTCTTGGTCTTTACCATATTCATCCGATGAGATAACATGACTTGATAATTGCCTATCCGGATAAATGTTTGGGAAACGGCTCCTAAATCTTTTTTCCCATCAGGTTTTTTGAAAAAAGAATACAAAAAATATATTTTTTTCAATAAAATCATGCATCCAAGTAAAAATATAGAGGAGTAACTAGTAGTTATTTTCCAAGGAGAAGCAATGTTTAGAAATGGAGTGGAGGGGCAACATGGCATAGGCACAACCCATGCGTCTTATGGAAGGAAGGCTTTTATTTCCTTTTCATGATTAAAACCCAAAAAAAAAAAACAGTCACATTTCCTTTTTCTTCATGTTGTGGTTATCATTCTGGTAGTCACTTACAAGGAAAGTAGTTCGAAAAGGCAATCCAAGCTTTTCTTATTATTTATGAAACCATTTAAGGTATAATTTATTTTTACACCTTTAAAAGAAAATGGTGTATTGTAAACGCATTCATTTTGGGTTAACAATTTTTTGTTGTTTTATTTGTTAATCAAGCATCAAATAGTTAGTTTTTCTTGAAAGGAGGATGTAAAAGAATCTTGAGGGAGTGGCTAAGAATAATTAAATGAATAGAGGGATTAAAATTTAATCTAAAGAGGAGCAAATACAATAAAAACTCAATATACCAATGCTACTTATGTTTTCATTAAATTCATGTTTTTAAAAGTATCTAGAGAAAAAAATGTATTAGTATCATTAATTAATGAAAAGGGGTGTGTGAATGCAATACAATACAATACAATACACTCGATACTATGTTAAGAACTCTAAATGTTGTATGATATAGTATAGGTAGTAATTTTCTAAATTTTAAAAGGCTCCAAATGTTGTTTCCTATTTTAACAGGGACCAAAATGTGCAAATTTCATTATTTCAGGAACATTTTCTTTTTGAAATTAATTTTTTCAGAAACATTATATGAAGTAAAAGAGCTTACTTATAAAACTCGCCGGGGTTATGATAGATATCACTGGATAAAACGTCACCGCTTTGTAAAAGCTGAGATAGGTTACGAACAGAGGCAGCTTCCCTGATCGTAGCTCGTGCTCTAGCAAGCTCTAACTCCAGTCGCCGCCGTCCTGTCTGCATTTTTTCACGATTACGTCTCATAGCCATATTAATCTATACAAAACGAAAAACCGTATATTCTAACGCTTAAGATCGAAAATGTCCATAAATTCATGATCAATTCAAATCTGAATTATGTAAATTAGAACTCATCGTGTATCCGATGTCTTTAACCGTGTTCATTTCAAACAGATGTTCACATAAACACACACACACACACACACACACACACACCTGAATTCTGCCTAATTAACACAAGTAAAAGCTGAATACAAATCAGGATTGGTATGATTTCCAAGCAATCATATCTTACACCACATCAAAATTTAAGTTTTCAAGCAACACCGATTTTGCAACTACAAACAAGCACACACACTAACACACAGAGAGGAATCAATATATTTATTATAAATCGTAAGTTACGGATTTGAATTTGCGAAGACCGAGATTGACTATAAATCGGAAAAACTTCCGCAAAATAGATTTAATCTCAAACACATACATACATACATAAATGCTCAATTATATAAATCGGTATATAGATATATCTCTGGTGACCGTCAGATAGATCGGAAATGTAGAACTTTACATGCATAAATCAAGAACAGCGATTTACGAAGGTTGGTGCTTACGATGAAAGTTCGATTACGATTGAGTTGAAGAGGCAAAGAAGATATTCGGTGAAGATCCGGAGTAATCACGGCTCGGAACTTATAATCATCAGAAGGTTGACGACTCAAGTTTAACTTGCTTTGCAATTGAACAATCGGAATCACGAACTCCGGTTTCGAATTGTTTCTGGTGAAAAAGTTGAAAGAGAGAATCAGAATTATGACGACGGTAGTCAGAGCAATCGCCGGTGCTGTTGTCACGTAAGCAGATACTCCTCCCTGTCTCGTCGTCTTCATGGCTGGCGAGAGACGCTTCGAAGTCCAGGTCCTCACTGTCCGTGTGTTTTAGGCTAAATTCCGTGTGTTTTATGCTAAATTTATGGTGAAAAAGGCATTATTCTTTTGACCAAAATTACCAAATTGACCCCGCAAAATGAGAAAGGAAAATATATGATTAATATCTCCAACATGCTATAGTTTTTTTTAATATTAAAATCATTAAAAATATTTTATTTTAATAATTTTATCATTAATTATATTATTAAATACATTTAATAAAATATTTTTTTAAACATTTAATTGCAATAAAAATTAAAATATTATTTCTCTCTCTAATACATAATTCTAATGGTTTTTCCAAATTTGAATATTTTTATCTTCTCTTTTTTTTTTTTTTTTTTYTWTTTTAGACTATTGGAGCAAAAAAAAATGCTAAAATTTCAATTTTCTCTACTTTAACATAGTTGTTGAAGATGCTCTTAGAAAATCAAAACTTCTAAAAAAATTCCGGTAATTACTTTATTTTAAAGATTAAAGATCTTAATGTTAATTATGTTTTTTAAATATTTAAAAATATTTAATATAATATTATTTTTCCTTATTAAACGTTTAATTCATTGATGAAAAAAATTACATATTATTTCTTTTTCTTAAGTTATTACAACAAATCAGGTTTATTAAACGCTCCCAATTTCTAAGCGTCTTAATAGACCTATTTATAGGACTTAGTTTATCGGACCAAAAAATAAAGTGTTATATCTAAAGGCGTTGTAATAAGTTTATATGACTTTTTTTACGTCATAATAAGTTTTTTAGGACACTTTTAAACAACTTTATAGGACACTATTTGAAAATTTGTCTTATAAAAACAAGTTTCCTATAAAAATTTGAGTTTATATGATACTTTCTCAAAAATTGTCTTATAAAGTTGTAATGTGACGCTTTGTATTAAAAATGTCCTAAAAAATTTGTTAAGATGTCTAGAAGCGTCATATAAACTTACTACAACGCCTTTAGAAAGAACGTTTTATATTTTAGTCCTATAAAACGGTCTATTGAGACGCTTGGAGATTAGGGACGTCCTATAAACCCATTTTATTATAGTGAATATAGAGTTTCAGATTCTTTAAGATTAGAAAATTTCATCATCTTCTTTTTTTTCTTATTTTAATATATATTATAGTAACTTTTGAAACAAAAATATCTCGTAAATATTTATTTATGCTTAAAAAATTATATATATATATATATATATATACATATATATACTTGTGATCATGTGAGACCCAGGGTTTTTCGTGAGACCCATAAGACCAATTTTCAATCCTTGAATTAGATCTACAATCTGAGCATTCATAATCACAAAATTGCCACCATACAACTTTAGACCATTAGATCATTAACTTATAAAGTTGACCAATGAACATAAATTGGTCTTACGGGTCTCACAAAAAACCGTTGGTCTCACGTGAACCCAACCCTATATATATATA